AAAGTTCACACTGGTCTTGGAATTCAGCCTTCCAAAGCAGATAATTGCCCCCTGAGAGTGTAGCTCTAGTTAGATCTCTCCAATCATTAGGTGTAATCCAACCTTGGGTTAAGGAGTCTAAAACCGCAAGGGTGAAGGCTGCCATGGGGCCATATTGGGATACTGCTGTTTTTAATTCTTTCAGGGCAGTTACAGGGAATGGTGTAAGAGCCCTATTAGCCCATGGCCCCGGGGGTGGAGTGTCTGTCTCTGTGTCACTATCATGTGGGTCAGAGTCATTCTCTTCTTCGCTATTATCAATTTCTATTTCCCATCTCTGTAGACATGGTGGCTGTCTTTTTCTATCTCCCCTAGTTGTTGTAGTGGCCTGTGTTTTATCCCTTTTGTGTTCCTGGCTTGGGACCGATCCTCGCGTCTAGTTCGTCCCTTTTGTCTCCCTCTTTCTCTAACTGTTTCATTCTCGCCATTTTGTGGACCAATGTCAGCTTGGGAGGGTCGAGTTGCCTCCCTGCCATTTTGTGGGCTAACACCAGCTGTGGCAGTTTGGGCGATCTCTGTTACTGGAAACATTAAGTGAGGTGCCATTTTTAAGGCATCCATTTTTGGAGGGTGAGTTGTTTCTGTTACTAGTAACATCATTGCTGGTGTGTCTGAGAAGAGATGAGAGCCCACATCTAATGACTGGAGTTGCAAAATGAGTCTCTGTCTCTTGTTTTAATTGAAGCCACTGTTGTAAATAATGAACTTCTGTTTCTAAATCAAGGAGATCAGGAAGTGGACCAGGCGGCTTTTGAAAGCCAGACTGGGTGGACTGGGGGTTATCTGTTTTTTTTTTTTGTCATTATTTTTGTCATTAATTTGGGATTGATAGATAGCACAAGGGCTGCAAAAGGGGGTTCCTCACCCTGATATTGAGCAGCCTCTTCTGCCAGCTGTGACCAATCAACCCCTTGGAGCTTAGAAAGGTCAGGATATATAAGCCTATATGGGGGAGGGAGTGTAACGGCACCGAGCTCCAGGGAGCGCTGAGAGCCATTTTGAATGGTGGTGCCATTTTGAGTATCCCCATGTGCTCCAGAAAGGGGAAATGGTGGCAAGTCACCATTTTGAGTGTTTCCAGAGGGGGAGGAGTCACTATCGTGAGGAGGCTCTGGAATATCAAGAACCACAGAGCCAGGAGAGCTGGGTGCTTGAGACAGGTCTGGCAGTTGTGGGGTACAATTGTGGGAAGCAGATAATGTAGCCTCACCCTGAGCAAGCATCTCTGCAATCTGAGGATCTGCGTGACGTTGTATCAGCAGCTCAGAGATTAAAGTCCAATATGCAAAAGGAGTTACCGGAACCTTTTCCAGACCAAAAACCCTATAATAGTCTTTGAGAGCATCTCCTACTCTTTCCCATTTTTTAGAATCAGTGGACACACAGAATGTACAAACTGAAAGTACTGTAGTAAATCTTTAGTTTTAACCTTAATCCCTCTAACCTTGAGTGCCTCCCTGAGGCCATTCATGAACAATTCGTGCTCACTAAGTACTTGCTCCATGCCAGTAGGGAAATTAGATCCATTCACCTACCGTGATTCAGGCAAAACATAAGGTGGCCGTCCGCATGGATCACAGGGACGAAGTCCCGAAACAGTCATGCCAGCTGGCAATTTACTCCCATGAACGGTCCCACATTGAAATCTCTCATGCCAGGTCGAGCCCCGATGTTGGGCGCCACTTGATCCGGCCCGCGGATCAATCTGTGGGCCTCGCCTGGAGAGAGAACAGGGCTGGGGGGCTGGACAAGAGGAGAGAGAGATGGAGACAAGTTGAGCAGTTCCAATCAAGTCTCGTTTATTAAAGAAGTGTTTAAAGCCTATATAGACTCTGAGGGGATGTGGCACTGTTGGATAGGCGAGCTTGGATTTCCTCATATGCCACGGACCTATTGAACTATCAGGAAATATGTGAATGATCATGAAGCAAAAGTGGAAGAGAGCTACATTGTATATACGTTGATAGGCGGAAGAGCCAGGACCGGGGGAAGGGGTGCACAGGATGACATAAGTAAAGGAGGATCATGGGAAATGTAGGCTGACACACTGGAAGCCCTCAGGAGGGCAGGATGTGGTGGCGGCCATGGGGTGGCTACACCGCTCCCTACAACCAAGAGCCCGGAGCTGCTGAACAGAGCAAGTTGGGACTCAGAAGTCCACTGGCTTCTCTGCTACTGTACAGGTGCCCTTAATCATGTCTACTCTCACTTGCAGTCTGAGCTCTGCCTGGGATTGGCACATCATTCCTTCCACTCAAGCTTCGCTGAGGTGTAATGGAAATTAAAGTGCTGAACGTGTCCAATGCAGCAGGATGATCTCACACATGTGCAGCACTGGGTAACAGGAAGCCCGCCAGGCCAACCCGCACACCTCATCCCTCCCCTAGTGACCTCTTGCACATGTTAAGACAGCTAAGGTCTCCTCTCAGCAGAGGTCAAGGACTTGGAGCAACATGGCCCTTGGAGGTGCTGCACAGTACAGAGGACTTCCAGAACATATAGTTCTGAACCCTGCCTCAACCTCCCTCATCCTGCTCTTCCTTCCACCCAGCCTCTGGTAGCCTCTGCATCACTCTCTACCTCTGTGAATTTGCCACTTTTACATTCCACAGAAAATGAGACCATCAGTGTTGCCCCTGGCTTCTTTCACTTGTGATGTCTTCTGGGTCCTTCCATGCTCCCAATGTCAGAGTTTCCTTCTTTTAAAGGCAGAACAGGCTCTGCTGCGTACCCACACTGCATCTTCCTCATCCAGCCATGTGCTGGGGGGCTCTGGAGAAGAGCCGGGGTCTTGGCAGTCAAATCCCTGCTGCAGGGACAGTGAAGGGCAGACATCTCTGTCTGGGACTCTGGGACTCTGACTTCCTTTGGGCATCTGCACACTCGGGGTGCTGGCTGTACTGTGTTTAGTGTTTGAGGAACCTCCGAACTGTTTCCCGAAGTTCAATCAGAATCTGCTACTTCGCATGTTGCAGTGCAGTCTATACCACCACCCTGCCTGTCGGCTTTGCGCAGAGGGTTTTGCTGGTCTTGGAGGTAAACCCAAAGGCCATCTGTCTTATTCCGAACTGTGGAATATTTTAAATAGCACAGGAAATGTCTACCTATGAAGACTCGTGGCATGTACCTTTAAACCATCTGAATCTGTATCTTTTGAAGATTCAGATTTTTAAATACCCTTTCAATGTTTCCTTATATGTCAATGTATTAAAATTTCCACTTATTAATCAGCATAGAATATATATTTTCTCAGTGACTTGAACCTAGGGCTTCACATGAGCTAGGCAAGTGTTCTTCCACTGAGCTGATCCCCATTTCTGTAATTTATATTTTTAAAACATGGGACAGTTTGTTTACATTTTTAAATTTTAGAATAAACATGTATACTACTTTCTTCTTCTTGAAACAAAAATCTCTAAATCTGTGAGCATATTCCTTTTTCCATTTCTAATGTGTGTATTTATTATATTTGCCAGAGCTTTAAAATTCTATGGATCTTTTTATACTTCATTTATTTATGTTTTAAACCTATTCTTCATCCTGACTCTGTTAAATTGAATTTTGGATTATTATCTAGCTTATTGAGTTGGATAATTAAATTTTGCTTTCTAGCCAGTGCATTTGAAGATGTAAATATTTGTTAGTGAACTTATCTGTGTGGTCATCTGGATTTTGGTATATCCTGTTGGCCATGTGCTAAGCTTTCTGTGGCATGTGTTTTAACTTGCTTGTGGAAACAAACCTCAGGTTTCTAAGTGAGCAGGTGTCCCCAGAATAACAGTCTCAGCCGGTGATGGTAACACTGGGAAACCCTGTGATCCCTGCCATCTGATTATAGCGTCTCTTCCACAGCCAGTGTAGGGCAAAAGCTGTGCATTCCTGAGGTGCGGGACAGAGCACTGTCTCTCTCATTCCTTGAAGAAGACAGTTTGGGGACTCATGGGCAGTGAGTGCCAGGCCCCCATCTGAAGTTGTCCTGGTGTGGGAGGGCGGCAGGAGGATTTCCCTTGGCCTGGGCAGGTCGTGTTTGTGTGACTTTCCAGGACACAGGTCCAGCTACTGACCATACCATGGGCCAGCAAAGTGGAAGGATAAGCTACCAAGGGAAGGAAGGCCACTCAGTCCAAAAGCTGGACACAGAGATGGAGGACAGTGTCGCAAGGCCCGTCCTGCTGGAAGCCACTCTGGTGGAAGTGATGAGTGTCCTGGATGGTGGGGGCCAGAGGCTGCATGTCCCGTCCTCACAGTCAGCCGTGGGATGCCATTCAGTCCTGCACCCAAGAGAAGGAAAATGGACGTTTCCTGGCTGCTCATGGCCAAGTCCATCAGCTGCCCACTGCAGTCCTTGCTGGGTCACACCTCGGCAGGGGACAGCTGCCTGGCCTCTAACGATGACCACTGGGATAGGGGCAGAGGAAGGCGTCCTTGGCCCCAGGTTTTAAGTCTGATTCCTGCCTAACTGACCAAAAGAGATGGAGAAATTCTTCTGGAGCCTTGGACAGGTGCTCCCTCCCCGTTACTGCGATGCTTTCGGTGGCCCCTGGGGTCTCCTCGCTGGCACCTTCCATGGGCTTAGGAACGGTGACTTTGAGGTGTGTTGACTGTTCCCTCCTCCTGGAGCTCTGGGTAACATCTCAGCTCTTCGGATTCCACTTCAGGTCTTTTGCTGCACCTTGGAGCCGCTGGGCTACCCACCCCCAAGCCCCAGGCCAAGGCCACTGAGTCCCATTTTCACCTGGAGCTGCCTGCTTTTTAGCCTCTAGGACCCAGTGCTGCCTCCCTTCTTCCCTCCCTCCTTCCCCATCTCTGTGTCGCTCCTCCTCCTCCCCTGTCCCTTTCACAGTGTCTTTCTTCTTGCAAGAGAGCCCACGAGCTCACCAAACCCCACATCTTCAGTTACCTGCCATCAGCAGCAGTTTGAAATATCAAATGGAAAATTCCAGAAATAAGCAATTCAGAAGTTTTCACATTTTTATTAGAGCATATTATTGCCACTGCTCTGTTTTATGTTAGTTATTGCTGTTGGTCTTTTCATGAGCCTAATTAATGAAGTGGCCTCTGTGGTTATTGTGTGTGGGTAGAACACACAGGGGTGTGGGGCATGGAGCTGTCTGCAGGGCCCAGGGAGCTGGGGAAGGCCCATCAGCAGCAGGACTTCTGGCCCAAGGAGAGGCCACAGCAGGCGGGGCGGGGGCAGGAAGGACGGCAGAGCAGGGACACACAGGAGGATGGGCGGCAGCAGCTGGGCTGGCAGGACGAGGTGCAGCAGCAGGAGGAGGAGGGCAGGCAGCAGGTGGGTCTGCACACAGGGCGGCAGAGCAGGGACACGGAGGAGCAGGAGGGCGTGCAGCAGCTGGGCACGCAGCAGGCCGGCTGGCAGGGAGAGCAGGAGCAGCAGGCAGGCTGGCAGCAGGAGGAAGAGGCACCAGAGCAGACAGGTGTACAGCACACAGGTGTACAACAGAGGGGTGTGCAGCAGGCCGACTGGCAGGGGGAGCAGGAGCAGCAGGCAGGCTGGCAGCAGGAGGAAGAGGCACCAGAGCAGACAGGTGTGCAGCAGACAGGCTTACAGCACACAGGTGTGCAACAGACAGGTGTGCAGCAGGCAGGTGTGCAGCAGGCAGGTGTGCAGCAGGTGGGCACGCAGCAGGACGGCTCGCAGGAGGAGGAGCAACAGGCCGGCTGGCAGCTCGACTGCTGGCAGCACGTGGGTGTGCACGAGCTGGTGCAGCCTGACTGGCAGCATGGGGTGCAGACCAGGCTCAGGCAGGGGGCCGGGGCGCAGCAGCTGGGCTGGCAGCAGCTGGAGGTGCAGCAGGGGGGCTTGCAGCAGCTCTCTGGGCAGTCGTCCAGCTGCCAGGGTTCGGTGCAAGTGCTGGAGCAGACGGACATGGTGGAGGCGGCCATGGCTGGGTTGGGCTATAGGAGGGTGTGAGTGTGAGTGAGTGTGAGTGTGAGTGTGAGTGTGAGTGTGAGTGTGAGTGTGTGAGGTGCTCTGGGCTCCAGGCCTTTATACCAGGGCAGGCTGTGTGTTATTCCTGCTTGAGGCTCCAGTGGCCTTCCCTTTCCTTGTTGTTTCTGTCCCTTTCCTTGTTTCTGTCTCTGTCCTTGTTTCTGTCTGTGTCCTTTGCTGTCCTCTCCTTGTCGTCCATTTCCTTGTTGGTGTTTTGAGCCTAGTACTGGTGTCTTGTTCACTGTGTTTATGCAAAGAGCCGATCAGCCTGTGGATTCGAGGTGCTAGCAAAGGGCTGGGTGATGTCCCCATCTGTGCTTGGTCCTCCAGGCAGACATCTTGGGGACGGAGGACCTGTCTTGCTGCACTTGCTGCCCAGGAGGTGAGGGGACAGAGCCCAGACTGTGCTGGCCACAGAGCTGCTGTGGAGCATGAGGGAGGTGACAGAGAGCACCAAGGGGGACAGTGGGGCAGGAGGTGGCACCAGACCCACATGCCACCCTGGAGGTGGCCTGTGACAGAAAGTTTGAGACACAGATTCCCAGGAAGACAGGCTCTGCAGAACAGGCGGCCACTAGGGTGAGACCAAGGCTCCCCAGAGTCCTAGGGAAATGTTGATCTTGGGACTGGACATCTTAACCACATCTGGGACAAATGAATGGAAGCTGGTGCCCATCTAACTGCAAAGATAAAACCCTGAAAGCTTCCTGCAAAACAGAAATCTGATCCCAGCGGAAGCAGAGGAGGAAAAACAAGGAGGAGCACAAAAATCAGCCAAAGTCGGGCAAAGGCTCTGAGCTTCTTCAGGAGTAGCAGATGCAGCTGCTGAGGTTGACCTCCTGGGAACTGGTGGTGAAGTGACCCCAGGCCACCCTTGGTGGGGTGTGACTCTGACAGTCAATTGTGAAAGTCCTGTGTCAGCCACCTCAGCCCAGGAACCCCGCCCCTTACCGCTGTCCTCGTGTGAGAGGAACAGGTTCCCGTGCCATGGTCTGTGAGCAGGGCCCCTCCGCTGTGCCTCTCCTAGAAATCATGGACGCTGGCATTCGGGGCGCAGGTCTCCACAGGGCCAGCTGCACCCCAACCTAGAACCTGCTTGTTCACTTAGACGTGCCCACAGGGTTTATGTAAGGTGCCACAAATGTCAGATCGCTTATTCTGTGTGGCGTGGGAGGGTCTACAGCGTGGAGCCACAGTCCGCAAGTCTTGCAGGGGCAGAGGGTGGGCTTGGGGTCCCCACTGTGAGGATTCTGAGCCAGGAGACTGTGACGTGCAGTACATGCGCTGTTTTGGAGGACACTGAGTTTTTACCTCCTGGAGTGGACACCCAGGAGTGGCCCTGCTGGGCCATGGGTCAGCATCCGTGTGGCCTCATGGTTGGCAGAGTGACATTGCCTCTCGCACTGCAGCCGTGCAGGAGCTCGTGCCCTAACCTACCCGGACTCGGGACTGCTGGTGTGTTGGTCTTTGCCATCCTGGAGACAGGAGTGGCATCTGCTGTAGTTTCGGGTTGCCTCATGCCCAGGACTAATGAGGGGTACCTCACTCATTTAACTTGCCTGTTACTGGGCTGTTGTCCAGAGCGTCAGAGCACCCATGCTTCCCCACTGTGACGTGGAGTTCCAGGTCCTCCTGTCCTGATCACACTCGGCGTGGGGTCCTAACCCGAGCTTCTCTGGTGACTGAGGACGCGGAGCGCCTCCTGCCTGCGACTGGCCATCCACACCTCTTCCCTGGTGGTGTTTTCCTTCGTGTCTAGGCCCCTTTTTAAATTAGATTTTCTTGATGTTGGATATCCAAAATTGTCTTTTGGATACACATGCTCTGGTCAGATTTGCAAATATTTTCTACCCACCTGACCCTTGTCTTCTCATTCCTGCATTTTAAAGAACAAAAGAGCTTAGTATTGGTGAAGGCCACTTGATCAACTACTTTGTTTTACACATCAGGCTTTTGGTATCTGTTCTAAAACTCGGCCTAACACAAGATCACATGCAGAGATTTTCCTCTGTTTTCTCAAACACAAACTTTTAAAATGTTACTTTTATGCCTATGATAAATTATGATTTAATTTTACAGAGTTATGAGACATTAGCTGAAGTTCAACTTTGTTTTTTTCGTGGATGTTCAGTGGTTTCAAACAGTCCTCTTTCTGCTAGTTTCCTCTGTCCTTTGGTTAGAGTTCTGAAGCTTTCCCTGGGTCTGTCTGCTTCTCTCCTCTATTATGGCTTTGTGTCTTTATTTTTGCCAACACTACGTTGCTTTGATTCCTGTGGATTTCTAGGAAGCTTTGAAATCAGAAAGTCAAGCCCTCACCTTTGACTCTTCTACAAATTATTAATTCATGTACCTTAGGAAAGACATTTGTGAATCAGTTTGTTAATATAACAAGTGGGGAGCCACAGTAAAGCTTGTCAAAGCTCAGGGCATTTGAGGATGTGGACCTGCTGCAGAGCGCAGGGTACTCATAGGTACCCATGGCTTAACGTTAGACTGGAAAACCAGAAGAACACCCCCCCCCCATCCTCTGGTAAGCATGGACTGACTCAGAGGACTCAGGGTGAGATATGGCAACTGAGATGAAAGGAACAGCTTAATAGCTCTATTATTTGACCCACTTTGCAGGCCCTGGGCTGGAGGTCTGGGCACCTATTTGGGGGATTGCAGTGTGCGTTGTGGCAGCTCTGGGGGATTCCTTCTGTCTTGTTTTTGAAATCCAAAGTTTTGTTCTATTTTACTGTTTTGTCTTATTCCTGTATCTGGTAACCTGAGCAACTATTTTGAAGATAACAATATGCAGTGTAACAGCAAAAAATTCAAAAACGAAGATGCAGCTTCTCTTGCTCTGCTCTGCTCCCTGCTGTGTGCTGTTGTGTCTGCCTCTGCATGCTTTCCCTGGGGATCACACGTGTGAAAATATTCCTTCAGCTCCCTCGACCCAAACACAATGAAAATGCTGTTGAAGTTTAAACTGGGGCTGCGTAATCTACTAGCAGGTAATTTCTTACTGTTATGGTTTTTTGTTTTGTTTTGTTTTGTTTTGTTTTGTAGTTCTGTATTGCGTGTACCCTTACGCCGCTTTGGTTTGTTTTGTGTTTTTCTCTTTTTCCTCTTAAATAAAAAAAAAAAAAAAAAAAACTGGGGCTGCCTAGAACCTTGAGGATCTGCAGGAGCCAAATATGGCAGCAGTGTTGTGCCTCCCACACAGTGTGTGGCATGAGTCTCTGCTTGTTAGGTCTCGTCTGATTTCTTTCATTGTGTCTTCCTGAGCTACATATTCTGTTAGACAGTTAAATTGTCATTTAACTATTGTATGTTTTATGAACATTGTTGAGTTCTCAGGGTTCATTGCACTGTGTAGGACACAGGGGGGGTTTGCTGCTTTTATTATTTTCACACGGCACCCTAGGCTGGCCACACAGTCCTACAGTTCCAAGAACCTTCCCTCCAATTTCTGGGATTTCCAGGCAGATGAGCCTGTCCTCCGCATGAAACAGCACATTAAATGTGCTCAGAGACGACAGAGATGACGTTGTCTCTCCCTCTCCAATACGTGTGCCGTGTGTGTTCCCCCTGCTCTCGCCAGGGTGACTGCTAGTGTGGGGTGACAAAGGGTTGCTGCAGCGGATGCCTGCATCTCTGCTGGCCAGAGGGGAAGTGATAAGTTCTGGACCACTGACAGGGAAGAAGGCTGTTTCCCTGACCATCAGACACCAGGCTAAAAACTGAGCCTGACCTATCTCTAGTTCCTAGAGAACATTTGTAAAAATCGGACTTCATGGATTTTGTTAATGACCTGTGTATCTGTTGATATAACATACTGTTTTCTCCTCAGTCTGTTTACATAGTGAATCATACTGACGGTCACCAAGTTGGTTGGGTTTCTATCGCGAGGTAGTCTTATATTCCTGAGATGAACCTGACCTTGTCCTTTTGATGATTATTGTGTTTGGTTTGCTAATTTTGCTGTGGATTTGGAGTCTAGGTTATTGGGAATGTTGCTCTGTTATTTTCTCTCCATGCAATGGGTTAGTCCTGGATATCAAAGTGTGGCCGACCCTTAGAAGGCATGGCCATGTGCTCTGCCATCCGTGTTCTGGGAGAGATGGTACAGGACTGTCACAGATCCCTTCTTTACATCCCTTGGCAGAGCACATCAGTGAGCAATCTAGATCTAAAGGCTTCCTTATCAGAGTGATTTAAAACTGAGAAAGGACGTGGAGGAATTGGCAGAGAGGCTGATCCAGCCCGTGGATCAATCCGTGGGGTGTACCTGGAGGGGGAACAGGGATTAAATAAAAACATGGGGGAGACAGAGAGAGACTGAGTCAAGTTGAGAGAGTCCAATCAAGCCCCGTTTATTCTGGAAGTGATTACATCTTTTATAGGCCAAGGGCTGGCTGGTGGGACAGGAAGAGGCTATGGGGATGAATACAACAGGGTCATCGTCACATCCGGGAATGTGACATAAGCAGGAGAGGATTATGGTTAATGTAGGCAGATGCATTGTGCCCATAAGAGAGAGGGAGGCAGGGAGGCAGCAATGGGGCTGTCACACGGCTACCTACGAGACGCCTGGAGTGGGAGAGTCCTGGGACACTGTGTCTGATAAGCGCTGACACCAAAACATGCAATGAAATCTGAGAACTCAACAGGATAACAAAGAGAAGGGGCAGCTGAGAAGGGGCAAACAAGTGAGCAGAGGCTCCCCCCAGAAGACACACTGGTGTCCAAGCCTTTGACCAGGTGCTCGGCTCAAACATCATTAAGAACCCAGAAGTGTCACACTAAGTCTCAGCCCCACAGCGCACCTGCTGAAAAGGCCCGGGTCACGGTGTCAGGGGAATGGAGCAGCAGGAGCTCTCCCTCAGCACTGCGGAAATGCAGAGCAGTGCAGTCACGTCGCGAGGTGGTTCTGTGGTTCCGAACAGCACCAAACACACTCTTATGGTCCAACAGTGGCTCTCTTCCTATGTACCCAAAGCAGCTGAAGACTCACATCTACATGGAAATGCACACAGATGCACACAGCAGATTTATTCACAGCTGCTCCAAGCTGGGAGGCACCAAGTGAAGGAGTGGAAAGATGGCAGCAGTACCAGAGAGCAGGTAAAGAGTATTATTGAGTTCTAGGAAGAATTATCAAGAGATTAACCATCCTAGAGGGGCTCAGTGCCCAGGAGGCAGGGAGAGGAGCTGGGTCTCCAAGCTGTGTTCTGTGGGACTCCCAGGACATGGCACTGGGAAAGGGCAAGGTTTGAGGACAGGTAGAGGTCAGGACTGAGTAGCTTGGGAACAGAGAGCTAAGATGGAGCCCAGAGGGGGTCATGGATGGAAGGGGCGCCTGCAGGGATCTGACGGACGCAGGTCAGGTCCAGAGTCACACAAACCACAGCAACAAGGGAATCACCCATGACAGTGAAGGGGATTGGGGTGAAAGAAAATGTCCACCTCCTGAGGGTGATGGTGACGGGGCCTGGCCCGAGGCAGAGGGACACCCACGTATTTGGCCATGGACTGAGCTTGCTCTGAAGGTGAAGTCTGTTAAAAACGGATGCAGGTCGTGAAGGCCGCCTGGGTGTTGTTCTGTGATCTTGGTGTTTGCGTCTCCATGAGGAGCCCACAGCCTCTCGCTGTCCACCTTGTATGCAGACATAGCATCGTGGTCACTCCCACTCCAGGCCCCGATGTCCAGGGCCGTGTCTTGCCCATCTTCCATGGCCAAAGACAATCACCAACTTCGTCTTCTGGAGAATTAGCACTATGGTCCTTGGAGGCCCCGTTGTCACTATTTGTCCCTATTATCTGCCTAGGATTTATATTTCACATCTGATGCCTGACGGGGATGACTGGAGTCTTATTTGTCCACTTTAAACACTTGCCCTCTCTTTGCCTTTGTGTGTAAAAGCGCTCTTCTTGCAGGATGGTCGGAATTTTGTCTCGAGGACCCGGCCTATGACTGTGCCCTCTCACCCTATGGCAGGACTTCCGGCCACGCAGAGGGCAGCGCCTGGGCACCCTGAAGCTCCCTGCTGTGTTGCTTCTTTTTTAAAATTTTGTTGAAAGAAAGACTAAACAAAATAGAAAACGGGTAGAAATAATACGTACTTTCAAAGAAAAAATAAACGGTAAGAAATCACTAGTTGATGATTACAGATTGTCCTCTTACAAATAGTTATTCAACATAATAAAGTGGGGATTCAAACAGTGAGACTCCAACCAGTTCTGTTCAACTATCCAACTAACACTTAGAAATATTGTTCTCAATCCTATACATTTAAACCTACATGCAGTTATCCATATCTTCAATTATGTTGACATTCAACAAACTCAAGCAGGCTAATATCACTGAGAACAAAGAATAATAATATTACTACATTTAACATTATGACACTCCAGGATCAGCATTTTGCGTCTCTTCAAAGTATCTGCTCATTCCATCATGTGTTATAAGATCAGTTCTCATAAACTGTTTATAGATTCTACACATGCATGAGCCTTAACATGCATTTCTATCCTTTCTATATTAGAGGGAGAAAAAATACAAAGTGCGACAAAACAAAACATATTCCTATAAACACATGAAATGAAAAAGACATATAAGACCATTGTATAAGGAGTTCTACCATAGTTTCTGTGATGTCTCTTGTTATCTTCAATAGAATTGCCTATATCATCAGACATAACATAATTAAATATATCAGTACATAACGGTATTAATAATAACACAAATTTGTATATAGTATAAAACTTCAAAAACAGTCATTTGTCACACCAGAATGTGTATCATAGAGTCCTGTCTTCACTGTAGTTGCCTATACTCTCAGACTTGATATGATCCATCCAGTTTTGAATAAAATCTGTCAATACCAAACAGCAATCAAACAAACAAACCAGATTTAATAAGATCCGTCATGATAAAACAGTATGAGCCTTTATGTTCACTGGTGCAATGTCTGATATTCCATGTTTGCTGTTCTCATTCTTCTTCATATTTACCTGTGCTGGATCAATGTTCTCAGCGCTGGGGTCTGGGGACTGTTTGTTGTTGCTTCCTCTTTCTATCTTTTTTGTTTCTTCCAGGAGGCCCCAGTTTCTTTCTTTATTGGTTTCAATTCTTCTGAAGCATGCTAGCCTAGTGGCCCTTCCCACTGCAGTGTGCTAGTGAGTTGCAAACAGGGGCAGCTTATGGCTGGGCCCTCACCTCTACATCACAATGCTGCTGTGGCCTGCACCACGTCCCTTCCAGGTCAGTCAAACTTCTGAGGCTTCACTGTGTTAGTGTGGCTAGTGTGTACTGCCACTGTAGGGAACTCATTTTGGATAACATATTAGGTCTCAGGCAGGTCGTGTGACCCAGGCCTTGCTCACTCCACCAATCCCATTCGGGAAGGGAACAACTGACTGAAGTCACTGCGGCCCCTTATATTTCCCAGTCCTGCCTGGTCCCTGAATATTGTCTGCCAAAGCCCCCCTTTCTGTGGAATGGCTCCATTCCCGTCACTCACCAAAGGTTGATGCAGGCTCCCTGCCAGCTCACCTCTCCGTTTCGCTGGTCGACCACCGACCTCAATGTGACTGCACCTCAAGTGAGTCCACATGCCGGGACCTCGGAGGTTTTGGCAAGTCGCCCGCTTAGCAGGAGCACTGAACATTTAGCTGTTCCAGTAGCAGCACGAGGACTGTATATTTGATTGGTTCTTCTTGGGATGAGAGAATTCATCTCCGTCTATTTGGGACTCCCCACAGTGTATTATGTTGAATTCTAAGTTGGCTATCTCAGGGGGCATCTGTAGCCAGTTGTCATCTATCCGCCATCTCTGCTCGAATCTCGTGTTCCTTCTTTCTCTTTCCCGTGCCTCGGCTTAGGATGTGACCCTTGCGAGGTTGTTGGTGCTGTTCATTTCTATAACGTCATCTCTTTGGTGTAAACATTCCTGTGATTTTCACCTCCCTAGGTTTCCTCCCTAGATGTCTTGTGTCTGTAATGGCTGATATTTTGTGTCAGCTTCAGAAACTGAGAAGTTTAACTGTGCTGCTCAGCAGGGCTCAGGGCACTCACCCTGTAAACATCCTCACCCTGTGCAAGAGAAGTGCAATGGGATGTCTTGAGTGCTGCCTCTGCTCTGGAAGCCGGGAAGCCCTCTTCCAACCTAAAGGAGGAAAAGAGGCTTCCTCCTCTCCCACCACCACTCCTGTACTTTTGTGGCCTTTGCTGTCTTCTGCCAACTTGAAGTCGTGCCACTCACCGTGCCAACCTGCCCCGGAGCCAGCTGATTACAGACTGAAGCCTCCACACAGTATGAGCTAAATAAACCTTTCCTTCCTTTATTTTGGATATCTGGTATTTTGTCTCAGCAATCAGAGAAGACAAACTAACACAATGTCCTTTTCCTCCTTATCCTTAATGAATGTGCTGCCTTTCCTGCCTTGAATACAGGGAACCAGTGATGACTCCAGAGTGATCCCATACCCCGGGAGGCTGGCAGCTCCCCTTCCATCTGCTCATCCCGATATGGTGACATCTTCCCACCTGTCCGTGTGCCCGCTGACTTTCAAGTGATCTTTACTGCCGCACTAGGCACTACATTCTGTGCTGAGTGGCTCAGGCAGTGTGTTCTGAGGCTTAGGGACATTTTGGGCCAGGTCATAGTTCACCAGGCCCAAGCTCCCCAGCGCTTTGACTGCCCAAGTCCCAAGTGACAAGTTCTTCCCTCTGCCTCAGCCCTGAGGCTCCAGGACTCCACTGCTCCCTGGTGCTCTGTCCTGGACATGGGCCTCACTCTGACCCAGTGACTCCAGAAGAGTTAGCCACTGTCCCTTGTGACTCCTCAGGTAAGTCCCTAGCTCCCAGGAATATCCATGGCCGGAAGAGACCCAAGTCCGCCCAGACCGTGTGTCTCTATGAACACGAGAGGCAGAGAATCAGGTGATGGGAAGTTTATTGATTCTGTGAGGAGCTGACAGGGTGAGGTTCAGGGCAGGTGACAGAGCTGAGAACCCAGGAGGGAGGGGTCAGAGCCCAATAGTGGACAGAGTGGGGGCCCTGACCTCAGGGGGAGGCAGCAGCCTGCAGTCCTGGGTCACGACGAGGCTGAGAGGGTCAATGAGGTGCCTGGCCATAGGGTGACCTAAGCCTATTGTGGGACAAGGCCTTCAGCAGCAGGACTTCTGGCCCAAGGAGAGGCCACAGCAGGCAGGGCGGGGGCAGGCGGGGCGGCAGAGCAGGGACACGCTGGAGGATGGGCAGCAGCAGCTGGGCTGGCAGGACGAGGTGCAGCAGGAGGAGGGCAGGCAGCAGGTGGGTCTGCACACAGGGCGGCAGAGCAGGGACACGGAGGAGCAGGAGGGCGTGCAGCAGCTGGGCACGCAGCAGGCCAGCTGGCAGGGGGAGCAAGAGCAGCAGGCAGGCTGGCAGCAGGAGGAGGAGGCACCGGAACAGACAGGTGTGCAGCACACAGGCTTACAGCACACAGGCGTGCAACAGACAGGTGTGCAGCAGGCAGGTGTGCAACACACAGGTTTGCAACAGACAGGTTTACAGCATGTGGGTATGCAACAGGCAGTCTTGCAGCAGACAGGTGTGCAGCAGACAGGTGTGCAGCAGGCAGGTGTGCAGCAGGCAGGTGTGCAGCAGGTGGGCACGCAGCAGCAAGGCTCACAGGAGGAGGAGCAGCAGGCCGGCTGGCAGCTCGACTGCTGGCAGCACGTGGGTGTGCAGGAGCTGGTGCAGCCTGACTGGCAGCATGGGGTGCAGACCAGGCTCAGGCAGGGGGCTGGGGCGCAGCAGCTGGGCTGGCAGCAGCTGGAGGTGCAGCAGGGGGGCTCGCAGCAGCTCTCTGGGCAGTCGTCTACCTGCCAGGGCTCGGTGCAAGCACTGGAGCAGAGGGACATGGTGGAGGCGGCCATGGCTGGGTTGGGTTGTGGGAGGGTGTGAGTGTGAGTGAGTGTGTGAGTGTGAGTGTGTGAGGTGCTCAGGGCCGCAGCCTTTTATATCAGGTCAGGCTGTGTTATTCCTGCTTGAGGCTCCAGCAGCCTTCCCTTTCCTTGTTTCTGTCCCTGTCCTTGTTTCTGTCCCTGTCCTTGTTGCCATCCTCTCCTTGTCGTTCTTTTCCTTGTTGGTGTTTTGAGCCTAGTACTGGTGCCTTGTTCACTCTGTTTTATGCAAAGAGAGCTCAGCCTGTGGATTCGAGGTGCTAGCAAAGGGCTGGGTGATGCCCTCATCTGTGCTTGGTCCTCCATGCAGACATCTTGGGGATGGAGAACCTGTCTGGCTGCACTTGCTGCCCAGGAGGTGGGGGACAGAGCCCAGTCTGTGCTGCCACGGAGCTGCTGTGGAGCATGAGGGAGGTGACAGAGCAGCACCATGGGGGACAGTGGGGCAGGAGGTGGCACCAGACCCACATGCCACCATGGAGGTGGCCTGTGACAGAAAGTTGGATACACAGATCCCCAGGGGCGAGACCAAGGCTCCCCGGAGTCCCAGGCAAATGTTGATCTTGGGACTGGAAATTTCAGCCACATCTGGGACAAATGAATGGAAGCTGGTGTCTGTCTGACTGCAAAGATAAAACCCTGAAAGCTTCTCTGAAAGCAAAACAGAAATCTGATCCCAGGGGCAGCAGAGGAGAGAAAACAAGGAGAAGCACAAAACTCAGGGAAGTCAGGCGAAGGCTCTGAGCTTCTTCAGGAGAAGCAGAGGCAGCTGCTGAGGTTGACCTCCCGGGAACTGGCGGTGGAGCGACCCCAGGCCACCCTTGGCGGGCTGTGACTCTGACAGTCAGTTGTGAAAGTCCTGTGTCAGCCACCTCAGCCCAGAATCCCTACCCCTCACTGCTGCCCTCCTGTGAGAGGAACAGGTTCCCGTGCCATGGTCTGTGAGCAGGGCCCCTCCGCTGTGCCTCTCCTAGAAATCACGGACGCTGGCATTCGGGGCGCAGGTCCCCACAGGGCCGGCTGCACCCCACCCTAGAACCTGCTTGTTCACTTGGACTCGCCCACAAGGTTCATGCAAGGTGCTGCAAGCGTCAGATCGCCTATTCCATGTGGCGGGGGAGGGTCCGCAGCGTGGACGCCACAGTCCGCGTGTCCTGCAGGGGAAGCGAGTGGGCTCGTGGTGCCCACCGTGAGGATTTGAGCCAGGCGGCTGTGACGTGCAGTCAATGCGCTCTGTTTCGGAGGATGCTGAGCTTTCACCTCCTGTAGTGGACACCCTGGAGTGGTCCTGCTGGGCCACGGGTCAGCCTCCGTGTGGTCTCAGGGTTGGCAGAGCGGCAGCGTCTCTCGCACCGCAGCCGTACGGGAGCTCGTGCCCTGTGCTGCCCGCACTCGGGACTGCTGCTGAGCTGGTCTTCGCCATCCTGGAGACCAGAGTGGCGTCTGCTGTAGTTTCAGGTTGCCTTGTGCCCAGGACCAAGGAGGGGTCGCCTCACTCATTTAACCTGCCTGTTACTGGGCTATTGTCCAGAGGGTCAGAGCACCCACGCTTCCCCGCGGTGTGGAGTTCCGGGTCTCCTGTGGTGGTCACCTTGGCGTGGGGTCCTAATCTGAGCTTCTCTGGTGCTGAGGAGATAGAGCGCCTCCTGCCTGCGGACTAGCCATCCACGCCTCTTTCCTGGTGGTCTTTTCCTTTGTGTCTAGGCCCCTTTTTAAGTTAGATTTTCATTGCTCTCAGCATCTTGTTTTGACAGATTTTACTCTATTCTTGTCTGTTTGGTAGTATCAAGTTTGAGGGTATAGGCAACTACTTTGAAAGCAATAAGATTCACTATGATGCCCATTCTGGTTTGACTATTCTCTTCTTTGGAATTCCTGTAATGTCTTCAATGTTTCGGTTTTATTCGTTCTGTTCTGTACTGTTTTGTTCCATTTTATTATACCTGATGACATAGGCAATTCTTTTTAAGGTAGCAAGAGGCATTATGGTAACCATTGTTGATCACCTCGTTTTCTGTTTTTGCATCATGTACTATATCCATCCTTTGTTTTGACTGACTCTGCTTTGTTTTGTCACATTTGGTTTTGTTCTCTGCCAAAAAAAAAAAGGCAATAAGAATTGTGGGAGTACTCAAAGCCAAAATGCATAAATGTTATTATGAAAAAGCGACGAAATAAAGTGCTCTAAAGAATATAAATGCAAGTATGTTTAGGTGTGTAAGACAGATGACTATATTACTAGGTTTTTGTTGGATCCTTGAACATAACATTTTGCTGTCTAACTGTTTGAATGTCCACTTCGTATGCTTTAAATTTCTAACTTGAACATCTATTTCTAAGATGACAATATGTAATATATCAAACAGCGATTTCTTACTGGTTATTTTTTTTTTGAAATTCTCTATTATTTGTACACTTTTACTTTTTTTTCTTTAAATAAAATTTTAAAAATTAGATTTTCTTCCTGTTGTATTTCAAAGTTCTCTGTGTCTTTTGGGCACACACGCTCTGGTCAGATTTGCAAATATTTTCTACGTACCTTTGCCCTGTCTTCTCATTCCTGCAACAGTGCATTTTAAGGAATAAAAATGCTTACTATTGATGAAGGCCGCTTTATCAACTGCTTTGTTTTACACATCAGACTTTTAGTGTCCCAGACATAAACATCTTAAAATTTTACTTCCATGTCTAGCATCTATTATGTTTTGATGGCTATGCTCAATTATTATTTTGCACGTTTCATGGGACATTATTTGAAATTCAGCTGTCTTTTTTTCAGAAATGTGCAATTGTTTCAAATATTTCTTTCTTTCCTTCAGTTTCCTTTGTTCTTTGGTCAGAGTCAGCCACCTTTTCTGAATCTGTCTGCTTCTCTCTTCTCTCTCTCAGATTTGTGCCACTATTTTTGCCTGCATTACATTGTCTTGATGCCTGTGGATTCTAGAAAACCTTGAAATCAAGAAGTCATGTCCTCACCTTTGATGCTTTTACACAGTTTAAATTCACTTGTCTCAGGAAGGGCATTTTATTTTATTTTTGTTATTTTGGTGTTTTTGAGACAGGATCTCACCATTCTAATCAGACTGGCCTTGAATTCACTTTGTTTTCCAGGCCGGCCTTGAACTTGCAGCAGCCCAGCTGCCTCAGCCTCCTGAATATTGGGATAACAAGCATGTTCCACCTGCTAGGAAGGCTAGGCTAGGAGGGACATTTTAGTATCAGCGTGTTGATATCCAGAAGGAGGGAGCACAGCATGTCACCTCCATGCTTGGGGGGCCTGAGGGCTTCTTAAAGATGGAACCTGCTGTTGAGCACAGGCACAGAGTGGGATGAACTCCCGTGAACATGGCTCAGCGTTAAACCATCACACACGCGCCAGGGAAGCCGGCATGCAGGAATGCAAACATGTGACAACAACAGGCGTAAAAATGAAGCAGCGAAGCTGCAGCCTGGCTTGCTCTGCTCTGCCCCCTGCTGCCTGCTGTTGTCGCTGATCTCTGCCTGTGTGCTTTCTTTGGGGACCTTACTGTGAAAATACTCCTCAGCCCCTTCAACCCCTACACAATAAATCTCTGCTGAAGTTTTAACCGGGCCTTCTCAGAACTGCAGATGGACTGAAGGAGCTGAACGTGGCAGCAGCTGTGTGCACCACACAGGGGCCCGAGTCCGAGGCCCTGCTTGTTTAAGTCTTATTTTATTTCCTTCATGCTGTTCTCCTAAGCTGCATATTCCATTAGACTGTACACTGTCATTTAATTCTGGTGTAAATCATCCTCCTAATGAACATTGTTGAGTACTCAGTGTTTATCGCAGTGCATGGGACACAGCGAGGTTTTGCTGCTTTTGTTACTTGGAGTTGGCCTCTCCCATCCTGGCTGCACAGCCTTACAGTGCCGAGAGTCTTCCTGCTGACTTCCAGGGTCCCCTGTGCATGAGGCCATCTTCTGTGCAGCATGGCAAATGTACTAAGAGACGGCAGGGATGACGCTGTGTTTCCCTCTGCAACATGTGTGCCAGCATGTGTCCCCCCTGGTCTCGCCAGGGTGACTGCCACTGTGGGGTGACAAAGGGTTGCTGCAGTGGATGCCTGCACCTGTGCTGGCCAGAGAGGAAGTGTTCAGTCCTGGACCACTGACAGGGAAGTGGGTTGTTTCCCTGAACATCTGATACCAGGCTAAAAACTGAGGCTGACCTATCTCTAATTCCTAGAGAGCATTTGTAAAAATCTGACCTCATGGATTTTATACATGTCCTGTGTATCTATAGATATAATCGTAACATTTCTGCCTCACTCTGTTCACATAGTGAATCATGCTGATGATCACCAAGTCAGTTGGATTTTTATCACTAGGTAGTATTATGTCCCTGAGATGAACCTGAGATGTCTTGTCCTTTTGACGATTAATTGTGTATGGTTTACTAATATTTTATTATGGATTTTGGGGTCTAACTCATTTTATTTTCTCTCCATGTGGTGTGTTAGTCCTGGATATCACAGTGTGGCCGACCCTTTAGAAGTCGTGGCCGTGTGTTCTGCCTTCTCTGTTCTACGAGAGATGGTACAGACCTGTCACGGGTACCTTCTTTAAATGTCTTGGCAGAGCACATCAGTGAACAATTGAGACCTAAAGGCTTCTTTATCAGAATAATTTAAACTGAGAGAGGACATGGAGGAAGTGGGCAGAGAGCCATGGAGCGGGAGAGTCCTGGGACACTGTGTCTGATAAGCGCTGACACCAAAACATGCAATGAAATCTGAGAACTCAACAGGATAACAAAGAGAAGGGGCAGCTGAGAAGGGGCAAACAAGTGAGCAGAGGCTCCCCCCAGAAGACACACTGGTGTCCAAGCCTTTGACCAGGTGCTCGGCTCAAACATCATTAAGAACCCAGAAGTGTCACACTAAGTCTCAGCCCCACAGCGCACCTGCTGAAAAGGCCCGGGTCACGGTGTCAGGGGAATGGAGCAGCAGGAGCTCTCCCTCAGCACTGCGGAAATGCAGAGCAGTGCAGTC